AGTTTGTTTCCAACTGGCTAGTTAGTACACGTAATCAGTGTTTTTATTGGTCAATTTGTTTCCAAGTGGCTAGTTAGTACACGTAATCAGTGTTTTTATTAGTCAGTTTGTTTCCAAGTGGCTAGTTAGTACACGTAATCAGTGTTTTTATTGGTCAATTTGTTTCCAAGTGGCTAGTTAGTACACGTAATCAGTGTTTTTATTGGTCAATTTGTTTCCCTTAAGTGTATTCTTCCAACTGTTGTACAGCTGTGGCTATGGACTTACCATATGGCTGTGCTGACGGCGGTGCTGGTTCCACAGGTCTACACAACAAAGTGTGAACAGTAGACATCTTCTCAGCTGTTGAAGTATAGATGACAGCTCCATCTCCAACATATTCAGGAGTGTTATCAACAGTACTGTTATCTGTCTAATTATAAACGTATGCATGACCAATTAAGTTTTCGCAAACTGCTCGAACCATAGTTCATTCTACTCTCTCTCTCTCTCATAGAGAGAGGAATGTTTGGAATCGATCGCTACTATATAGACTGTGTGTATGATGGAGAGAACGTGGCAACGTTTCCACGTCGCAGACAAGCTTCTTACTATGGAGGTGATTTCTCCTTGGATCAGAAAGATGCCAGAATAAAACTGACGTCACACATTGTTTGTCTCTGCTACATTTCTTTCATTAGTTTGACGAACAGAGTTAATTTACAAAATTAGAATGGGGCACTAAAGCCACCTCCCCCACGGAACATGTTGATTAAAAAATATAAAAGGGGAACACAAAAACGTTTTATGGCAAACTTGTCGGCAAAATTATTGGGGGCATTTTACCTAAAGAATCCAACCTCTAAATTACCAACCTGTCTACGGCCCTTGATTATCACCTAAAATCATGGTGTGGCGACTGGAATGTAACCTAAAACGACATAAATCCGTCTATGCCCCATTTTAATTTTCCTGGAGAGCCCCATAAAGACGGCGTCCATAAAACTTTGTTAGATTTAATATCTAGCCGAGTATGACCTATTGATTAGGGTGTTTGAACTGTAGATCCTAGTGTTTATGTTTCTTGGCATACTGCTGCTTAAACACGTTCCTTACTTTGAGTTCGTGAGTGCGCTATAAGAGTGACAGTCAAATAATCATTCAAATTAAATATCACACACATATAATATTACTTTCATCTTATCGTCACTGGTTGACAGAGATGAACTTCCCTGTCATTGGTACTACTAGCCACTTATTATTTATAAAGTCTGATGGGGTGCACCATCCACTTCTAGCCATTTGTTGAGATAGAGACTTCTATATTTACTTTACAGTAAAGAGGGATTTACAAACTCGGGACAAATCACACTTGTACCGTGTGGCTGTAGGTTTGTTAGAATCATTAAACACAAAGATTCTTCAGAAGCCAAAAAACAACAAAAAAGTGCAAGAAGTCGGGAGGGTTCTAATAAACATTTTTCTTTAGTACCTTCCCACTTGAAGCAGTATTTTAACTACAAGACAACCTGAAGATGCTTACAACAACCTTCCATAAAAATCAAACGTAACCTGAAAAAAAAAAGGGTTAAAAACATGACATGACTATAATGTTTCCTAATATTGGTATTTAACTGCAAGATTTACTCACGACTGTTTGTTTGTTTGTTTGTTACGGATTTCGCACAAAGCTGCACGAGGACTATCTCCGCTAGCCGTCCCTAATTTAGCAGTGTAAGACTAGAGGAAAGGCAGCTAGTCATCATCACCCACCACCAATTCTTGGGCTACTCTTTTACCAACGAATAGTAGAATTGACCGTCACATTATAACGCCCCCACGGCTGAAAGGGGCGAGCATGTTTGGTGTGACGGGGATTCGAACCCGCAGATTGCGAGTCGAGCGCCCTAACCACCTGGCCATGCCGGGGCCTATTTACTCACGACACACAGTCTTTCGTTTCACTTCTTTCAACTCGGAAACTGCACTGTTTACAATCTAAGAACATAAACTCGCTACTGATGCGACATGCGGGCTGAAAAGGAAAATACAAAATAATTTCAAAATACAAAGTTTGAGCAATCATCTGACGTTGTAGTCACACCTTCTCGAAGTTTCTGGTGGTGACTGATCTTTTCATGCACTTCTTTCTTCAAAACGCTAAAATTTAGTGACTTTTATCATCGCGAATAAGAAAAATTCGCGTCAGAAAATCTTGTTGCATAACCCTCACTGAAAGGATCAGTTTTAGGTGTCATCTGTACTTTCGGGTCACCAAGCTTCAACCCGGAATAAAACTGTTTCGCTACCACGTTAATTAATATTAATTATTTTGACGAGATCGTGTGGTTTAGTCTTGCTTGATGCATTGTCAAAGGCTGTATAATGAACTTTATCATTTGTAAGAGGTCACAGGATAATTAGTTCAAGCATTAGCTCTTCCATTTCTGTAAAGGTCTGAAACTCATTTATAGTCGACCTCTCTCCTAACGATGCGTTTGACTTCTAGCACGTGCTTGGTCATTGCAGAAGTAAATCGATTGCACAGAGTAATAACGCTCATATATTACGTCATAGCACCGCTGTCGTTTTGTTCAAAATTGAGTTAGTTTAATTTGCCCCCCCCCCCCCAATGACACAGTGGTATGTCTGCGGACTTACAACGCTAGAATCCGGGTTTCGATACCCGTGGTGGGCAGATGACAGATAGCCCATTGTGTAGCTTTGTGCTTAATTACAAAACAAAACAGTTTAATTTGAGTGTTCTGTTTGACGGAAGTGCAACTTGCGGCAACGTACTACAGTATCAACTGTTTCAGTATCAACAGTTCTGCTTAAAGAAAGTTCAACCTACGATTTAGTACTATCTGTTTCAGTTCATAAAATGAAGTTTGATTGAGAATCGTTTTTCAAATTTCACCACATGTTACAGAAAACGCTTGCCTTTCTCTCCCCCCCCCCCCAGCACCACCTTTGTTAGTTCTTCAAGAAATACGATTTGTTGTAGTGAGAAAACAAGTAAGCGTTCAAAATCTGCTTTAGTGTCCACTGTGCAGGACAATCTTCCTGGTCCACTGACTGAAATTCTTCGAAACAGGCGAGGCGTTTTGGAGGATCCTTAACAAGGACAATCAGTTCCAAGAACAGCAACAAGATCCAAAACATTGCAATTCTATACCGCCAAGCTTAAAGTAAGTGCCAAACAGCGAACCTACAGTGTTCGTGATTGGTCTTCTTGAAAGAAGTGCCTTTAATCTCCTCCGACATCCACCAATGGTTAAAGTCGAAGCACAGTCAACGACACTTATGAAAATGAAATATTGGTAGTAAACCTTTCAAAATAGCACAGAGTGTATCCGATGTGCTCTAAATCCTGGAACATATCTCAACCGAGTCGAGATATTGACAGATTTGTATGTAATTATAACAGAAATCATCTGGTTCGTGAACTTCAAATCTGGAATGTCTTCTGCACGTAAAACCAAAAGCTGGTTCCTTTTTTGCTCTTCCGTCATATTATTAGACCCTGGCAGCAAAGACAAAGTATTAGCTTCGTGGACTTCAAATTTGGAATGTCTTCTGCACGTAAAACCAATAGCTGGTTCCTTTTTTAACTCTTTCGTCATATTATTAGACCCTGGCAGCAAAGACCCGGAGTTTCGCATGGTGAAAGAGGCTGGTTATCTAATTACGTATAGTTAAAATACTGCTTCAAGTGGGCGGAGTTTCGCATGGTGAAAGAGGCTGGTTATCTAATTACGTATAGTTAAAATACTGCTTCAAGTGGGCGGAGTTTCGCATGGTGAAAGAGGCTGGTTATCTAATTACGTATAGTTAAAATACTGCTTCAAGTGGGCGGAGTTTCGCATGGTGAAAGAGGCTGG